GACTGCAGTATAATGCAGCCATAGCTGCAAGGGAGGCAGGGAAGTTTAAGTTTTGTTTTTTATAGTCATTTCAAGAATGAAGACTGGGAAATGGCTCGGTCAGGAAAGCGCTTGCAGTGCGAGCATGAGCACCTGAGTCCCCAGAACCCAGTAAAAACGTCAAGTGTGGCGGCACATGCCTGTGATCCCTGTGCTGGGGGGGGGGGGGGGGCGGGTGCACACTAAAAGATCCCCAGGGTAGCCTTGCCTAACTTGGTGAACTCCAGGTCAAGGAGAGATCCTGACTCAAAGGAAGTAGACAACAGCATTCCTGAGGAGGTCCTCTGACCTCCATGTATACAAATACACATATGCCCCAATACACCTGCATGCAATACATACACATACATATTCAAAAGAAAAAGAATAGCCAGATATGGTGGTGCATCCCTTTAATACCAGCACTTGGGAAGCAGACACAAATAGACCTTTATGAGTTCCAGGTCAGACTGGTCTACATAGTAAGTTCCAGGCCAGCCAGGGTTACAGAGTGAGACCCTGTCTCAAATAAGAGAGAGAAAAAATAAAAGGAAAAGAATGAGGTTTGGAAAGACATTTGCATGGTTGGTTCTCAGTGACTCCTACTGTGGCCATAGACATTTGGAATACATTTTATTAAACAGCCCCAAACACTGTAGGGCAGTCAGGTGGGGTGGTACATGCCTTTAATCCCAGCACTCAGGAGGCAGAGGTAGATGGAACTCAGTAAGTTGGAGGCCAGCCTGGTCTACATAGTGAATTTCAGGACAGCCAGGGCTGTAGAGAGACCCTGTCTCAAAAAAAAAGAAAAGAAAAAAAAGAAACAAACAAACAAACCACTGTAGGGCTTCTCAGAGCTTTTTATTATCATAGTATTCATTGAGTTAGGGACAATATGATATTACACTTTTTCTTTTCTTCTTTTTTTTTTTGAGATAAAGTCTCAGTATGTAGCTCTGGAACTCACTATGTAGACAAGGCTGGCCTCCAACTCACAGAGATCCACCTGCCTCTGCCTCCCGAGGCTGGGATTAAAGGCATGCGCCACTATGCCCTGATGATATTATGTTTTTCAAACATAGAGAATCCAAAATTATTTTCCCAAAGTAGGGAACACAGTGTGGCAGACAGAAGCTCTTCCAGAAGATGACAGCTCCTGAATAAAAGATGGAGCTAAGGTGTGCCTCATGGACGGTGATTAAGAATGAGGTTGAGTAGAGACTGAGCAGGCCTGAGAGGTTTTCAAGAGAAGCATGATGCTTTCAGACGTCTCCAGCTGTTCTGGTTTGTTTTCAGGACTCTTGTCTCCATGCTTCTGTGGTTCCCTTCAGCACAGGGCTAGCTTGGTCCTGAGCCATGCTTTTCTCTTGCCTAACCCTTTCCACTCACAGTCTCCCTGATGCTGGTGATACTGGAGCTGGGCTGGCTCGGCTTCCCTGAGTGAAACTGAGCCCTTTGCCAAATGGACGCGTACTGTGTAGACTGCTGTTTTCCCTCAGGTCTGTTGCAGAGCGTTTACAAGATGCAGAAGATGTTGATGGACCTGACCAGTGTTTTGGGCTTGGGGGTCATGAGACCCCACGTGATCCTTTTGGCCATAGGTTGTCTTTTCTTTCATTGATTTCAGTAGCAACTTCGATGTGGCCAGCAGCAGGCAACAGCAGCAGCCATCATCTTCACTGGCATAAAAAAATAAAATCAAAACATTGTTTTTAAAGATTTATTTTATTTTTAATTGTGTGTGTGTGTGTATCTGTTGGGGGTGGGGTGGGGGGTTGTACACATTTGTGTGGGTGCATTAGATGTCAAAGGTGTTGGATCCTCCCAGAACTGGATTTACAGGCAGTTGTGAGCCTCTTGATGTGGGTGCTGGGAACTGAACTCAGCTCCTGTGGAAGAGCAGCAAGCTCTCTTAACCACTGAGCCATCTCTCCAGGTCCTTAGTTGGCCCTCTTACACACTTAACTCTGGCTTGTTCTACACAGTGGGTATCTTGAGGATGTAATACTTTGTTTTTAAAGATTAGTGGTTCTAACTGTATGTATTTGGATACTTAAACCATTTTCTGTTTGTGGTTTGTGTTTGTTGTTGTTGGTTGCTGGGGGAATAAGTTTCATGTTGTAGCCCAGGTTGGCCTGGAACTATGCTGCCGAGACCAGCCTCAAACGTGATAATTTTCCTGCCTGAGGCTCCCAAATGCCAGGATTACAGGTGTGAGGCAGCAGGCCCTGCGTGTCTTTGTTGTTAGTTTCCTTGAGACATGGTTTCTGTGTCTTTGGTAGGTTGAGACTTTACCTATTTCATTTCCCGGTACATCATCAAACCTTGTGCTAGCCCCTTTTGCCTGCCCCCTCCCCAGTTTTCGTTGCAGTGTGCTAGCCCCTTTTGCCTGCCCCCTCCCCAGCTTTCGTTGCAGTAGTTGTATGTGGTGTTGTTGGTTTTACTATTATAATTTTGTATTTCTCGAGATTATATCTTTTCCTTTCCTTCCTGTCCTCCTTCAACCTCTCCCATGTACCCCAGCCACTCTTGTAAATTAATGGCCTCTTCTTCTTCAGTCGTTATTACATATGTCTGTGTGCACACACGTTCCTAAACACATAGACGCAGCCTCTCTGGCGTTATTTTGTGTCTCGCCTTCCTTTGTTCCTTGTCACGTTAGACCTTCCATTTTAGCAAGGGGCTGTGCTCTGCCCACCCGTTTAGATCAGTGGTTTGTGACTGAACGACGTGGAAAGGCTCACTCAAACCCTCCTCCAGCTGCAGAAAGCCTCTGTCTGGTGCTTTGCTCATTTTCTGCTCTGGCCGCCCTCGTCCCCTCTGCACTGATTCCCTGATGCTGTTGTGTCTACTGTACCTTGTTATTCACAAGTCCTCTGGACCTCTAGGCACCACTCTTCCCTTCACTATGAAAACAAGAGGCCATTCCCACCCTGCTGACTCACCCCCCCAGTACTTGAGGGGAGGCTGCAGGGCCACCAGCATTCTGAGCACACCCAAGTTCATGGCCTGGCAGTTGCTTGTTCCAAATCCCAACACTATCTGAGTAACACCAGTCTCCTCTCAGCCTCCCTTCCCTTTCTCAGGCTTGTTTTGTCTTTTAACCCACTCGGTCTGCTCAGTACATCGGAATAGGCCATCTACTGGAACATGGGCAACCTATCAGGGGCCTCATTCCTGTAGAAAACTGGCCGGAGAGATGGCTCAGTGGTTAAGAGTATTTGCTGCTCTTCTGGAGGACCCAAGTTTGGTTCAGTATCCTTGTCCGACAGCCTACAACGGCCTGTAACTCTGGCTCCAGGGGATCTGATACCCTTTTCTGGCTTGGCCAGTGAGTGCACATGAGCGCGCGCACACACACACACACACACACACACACACACACACATGCACGCACGCTTGCAAGCACACATGCGCAAATAGATAATTTTAAATTAATAATCTTTAAAAAGATAACTGACTCCCTGACTCCCACCTGCAGACATCAGTGGCCACTAACTCCTCAGCAAGGGTAGAACTTCCATGAATTTCATCAAAACACATTATATTCATGTATGAAAGCCTCAGATAATAATTGAAAAAATAAAACTATACAAAAATAAATTCTAAACAACAACAACAAAATCTAACTAGCCTCTCTCTTCCTTGAGGCACACCTGCACACCTACAGCTACACCCAGCCCTGTCTTCGCACACCTGCACACCTACGCTACACCCAGCCCTGTCTTTGCATACCTGCACACCTACAGCTACACCCAGCCCTGTCTTCGCACACCTGCACACCTACAGCTACACCCAGCCCTGTCTTCACACACCTGCACACCTACAGCTACACCCAGCCCTGTCTTCGCACACCTGCACACCTACGCTACACCCAGCCCTGTCTTCGCACACCTGCACACCTACGCTACACTCAGCCCTGTCTTCGCACACCTGCACACCTACGCTACACTCAGCCCTGTCTTCACCTTGGCCCTTTCTCTTCACTCAGGACCAGGCCGGGGAGGGACGATTTGCTCTTTCATCCACACAACACATTCACCTTGCTTTCCTAAACAAAGGAATACATTCACACTGAGATTCACTCCACAGCTCCTTCAGTGTATGGAGTGCTTATTCCGACAGCAGAGGTTTTTTTTAAATATCATTTCTTCCTTCCTGATTCATTACTTCTTGGGTATTTTATGAAACTCAAATGTGCCAATAGGAGTAAATGTGCCTTGTAAACCATCTCAGTTTCACAGATTTAAAAAAAAAATGACTGCTGTCATACAGTGAAACATCGTCTGCGCTTTATAGCCTTTAGGAAGGACAGCTGAGTGCATAGACTATTAGGTTTTGAGTTTGTAACCAGATTCTGAGAACTGAGGAGAGCGTGGCCATATATAGACTTTTATTGGGGGGAAGCCAGTGGCCTCCAGCCATCTCGGGAGAGTAGGGACTGCAGTGGCTGGAGATGTCGCTGACGTGGTCGAGTGCCTGCCTGGCATGCATAAAACCCTGAATTTGAGCCCATCAATACATAAACCAGGTGTGGTGCCCATGCCTATAAGCCTTGCATTTGGGATATGGAGGCAAGAGGATTAGGCGTTCAAGATCATCCTAATAGGCATACGCCTACATTGCTAAGCAGCAAGTTCAAGGCCAGCCTCGAACATATGAGAACCCTATCTCAAACAAAAACAGGTTGGAGGGGGCTGTAATCCTAGGTACAGATTTCCCTGGGGTGTCTGAAAGAGGGAAGGGAATATCTCTAAAAGAGAGGGGGGGTGATGGCTGAGCCCTAGAGGTGGCCCTGGAATATACCTGCCATGTCATCAAGTATACCTGGGAACCTCAGGAGAGGCAACACAGGGCTTACTTCTGCCCTGTCTACTCACAGAGCAAAGGTCTCTCGGCCCTTGTCACATCTCCTGTCTGTTCCCATTGCTCATAAGCCTATGGTCAGGCCTCTGACAAGTGTTCTTCTGTGTTGTGTCCAGGGACAGGGTGCCTTGTCGGAGAGACTCCGGAGCTTCAGCATGCAGGACCTCACCACTATCAGGGGTGATGGTGCCCCTGCTCCCTCAGGCCCCCCTCCACCAGGGACTGGGCGGGCCAGCAGCAAACATGGCCAGCCCAAGATGTCCAGGAGTGCTTCGGAGAGTGCCAGCAGCTCAGGTAGGTCTCTCCGCTCCCCCTTCGCACTTTGGGCCTCATTGTCATTAAGAGGCGCAGTGCTGGATCACACACAAGGTGTCCCTTGCCCCATGGGCCTGTCACCAACAGAGATATTTGTTAGATTATACCAGGCCAGATGAGGAGCCTAGCCACTCAGGAAGCGGGCCTGGGGACTGGGCCTTGGGCAGGGTAGGTTACTAGAACTAGAGAGTTCTTCCTTCTTCATCATCGTTATCATCGGAGGGATCAGAGTGTTGGGTGCTTGTGCCTGGGCCGAATCGGGAGCAGGAAATGTAGTCTGGGCCGTGGGAGCACTTTCTACTCTCTCTGGCCCCACACTCAGGCCTCATGACCCCCTGAGCGTCTTCTCCCACTCCTCAGAGCTGGTGACTCCTCCCATAGGCATGCTCTCCCTCTCCCGTGTCCCCACTTCATCGTTGACTACCTACACACTACGCATGCCCACAGCCTACACCTACCAAGGACCACACTAGGCCTGTGGTCCAGTTCCCGGGGAGGCCAAGTCCACCCAGTATCAGAAAATCTACCTCTTCTGTTTAACACCGTGGTTAAGTACTTGGCATGAGACTGCCCAGATGGGGCTCGACTAGGAACCTTGTTTAACGTGTGGAGTCTTGGGCCTGTCTCCAGAGATCTCAGTAGGTCTCAGTGAGACCCAGCTGTGTAGATTGGGGTGTGAATCCAGTATCTAATCTATCCGTGTGGACTTGGAGCTTCTGGATGTCAGTGTTTGGGCTGGCTATCAGTTTCCAAGATGGATCCGTAGATGATGATGACTCCAGGAGCAGAGCCGAGTTGCTGACAGAAAATGGTGGACAGCAGAGAGCATAGAGGACAATGATGGGTCACCGCCTTCTCCTGATGGCAGAGAGTGAGGGGGGGAGGGCTGCTGGGACACCGCCTTCTCCTGATGGCAAAGTGGGGGGGGGTTGCTGGGCCACCACCTTTCCCCCTCCTTGTTACAGAGGAATTAGGACTTAGGTTGTTTTGGAATATGGTGTTATGTACCCAATGTCTGTCCTGCCCTTAAACATGCAAACCAGGACCTCGAGGGCCCCTGGACCCTTACTGTGTGCTATAAGAAGCAGCATGAAAGGCCCCCGGGCTCTGAGCCCCAGATGCTGACAGACCCCACCTGATTCTGAGGGTTAGCACATGATGTAGACATGATAACACACTTGGGCCTGACCACTCAATACCATCAGCATTCCTTAGTGTTCATCAGCTTCCTCCCCTTTCAGGTCCATGCCCTCTGCACTGCTCGTAGGTTTGAAGATCATAGCTTTTTGATGGGAGGTGTTTTCACTCCAGAAGCAGGGTAGGACCGGGGAGGAGAAGGCTAGGGTATGAGGATTCAATTGAAATAAACCAGGTAAGAGTACTCAGGACCATGCCTGGTGCCAGGAGATAGTTTGTAGCTATTGTTATAAATCTTATTAATTCTTTATTTCACCCAAGGAAGTTCTTTACAATGCTGAGAATATTCAGAAGACAAATGGGCTTCTCTGTGAGGCAGTGTGAGCCCTGACATTGGAATGGCCCACCCACACCAAAGTTGAAAGGTCAGGTAGGGCATCCTGCTTTGGCAGGGAAGTGGGCCCAGGTAGCCCTGTATCCCTTCCCCTCTAAGAGTCCATTTTGTTATTTTAAAGGAAAACCAAGTAGAGGCAGCAGCACAGAGAGGCATGCACTCTGCCCAGGCCACACAAAACAGGAATCTAGACCTCCTCCCCAGACCATCTCTTGATAAGTTTTTCAGGTCAAGGCTCAGAATGAAATGAGAGGAGGTTGGCTGGGTCTCAGAGATGATGTGGATGTCTCCAAGGCCTGAAACACCTTCTAGCCCAGCAACAGGTAGAAGAAGGTCTGGAATGGTTTGTTTTGGTGTTGGCAGAGGGGGTGCGATCCTTTGCTATCCTGAGACCCCCCCTTCAGAGAATGGAGGTGCTGGCCCATGGTAAGGAGGTCAGGGACTATAGCACTCTCCCAAGCAGTTGCCGCAGAAAGAAAGACAGATGTGATGCAGATCCGCTTCTGGATATGTAGTAGAAGTCCCCACGCCCGTGTTGGAGCTGGGGCTGTCATCCACAAGGTGAGACAGGGTCCCTGGGAAGAAGTCTGGCAGAAGAGGCAGTGGAAGGGAGCATGGGTTTGTTTTGGTTCACAGTTTGAGGGCGCAGGCCATCATGGCCACAAAGGCATGGTAGCAGGAATGTGAGGCTGCGGTACGTTGGGTCAGAAGTCAAGAAACAGAAAGAGAGCTGGAAGTGGGGTCTGGCTATCAAAACCTAAGGCCCACCCCTTGTGACTCCCTTCCTTCTGCAGGGTCCCACCTCCTAAAGGTTCCACAGCCTTCCAAAACAGCATCATCTGCTGGGGCCAAGTGCACAAGTCTAGGAGTCCACCCTGGTTCGGTGACACAGAGCCTGTAGGATGTAGAAAGTGCCACGCAGGGAAGCTGACACCACGGGGCAATCGCCACACGTGTTCCTGCTCACTCCCTGAGCCCACTTCCTCCCCTGAGTTCTGTGTGCTGCCAGCCTTCTAGAACTTTCTCAGTCACAGCAGAGGGTTTGACCTTGGCAGGAAGCAGACCCCAGTCCCTCTAGATTTCTCTTGAGGAAAAGGCTCCACCTGTCTTTTGTTGTGAGGAGAGATAGAGAAGAAAAAAAGGATCATTTTCAGACTCCAAACAGATGACAGGAGCTGAAGACAGCTTAGAAGAGGGAGCAGGGAAGGGCATGGTTCAGGCTGTGTCTACAGCAACTGGAAGTCCCAGTTCAGTGGACCCTGGTGGATCTTGAAAGCAGGATACCCCATGGAAATGCACAGTGGATTCTTATGTAATCATTTATGTAAAGTAAACATAGCCAGGTGTGATGAAACATACCTTAATCCCAGCACTCAGAAGGCAGAGGCAGGAGAATCTCTGTGAGTTCAAGATCAGTATCATTTACAAAGTGAGTTCCAGGCCAGGGCTACATGGTGAGACCTGTGTAAAAAAAAAAAATAAATAGGCTGGACAGTGGTGATGCAAGACTTTTATCCCTAGCACTCAGGAGGCAGAGGCAGGTGGATTTCTGTGAGTTTGAGGCCAGCCTAGACTACAGAGGGAGTTCCAGGACAGCAGGGCTACACAGAGAAACCCTGCCTCAAAAAGAAAAAAAAAAGGTAGATTGGTAGATAGGTAGATAGGTAGGTGGGTAGATAGGTAGGTAGGTGGGTAGGTAGGTAGATAGGTAGATAGGTAGGTGGGTAGATAGGTAGGAGGGGGTAGGTAGGTAGGTGGGTAGGTGGGTAGGTAGGTAGATAGGTAGGTGGGTAGGTAGGTAGATAGGTAGGTGGGTAGATAGGTAGGTAGGTTGGGTAGGTAGGTAGATAGATTAGGTAGGTAGGTAGGTAGGTAGGTAGGTAGGTAGGTAGGTAGCTAGATAGCAGGGGCTGGAGAGATGGCTCAATTGGTAAAATGCTTACTTAACAGTATGAGAACCTGAGTTCGGATCCCCAGAGTCCCTAGAAAAGCCTGGCACAATAGCATGAGCTGTAATGCCAGCACTGGAGGGGTGACAAGAGGACCCAAGACTTTGTCTAGCCAGCCAGTGAACTCCAGGGCCAGTAGGAGATCCTGCTCAAAAGACAAAGTGGAGAGCAAGAGAAGAGACCACATCAACCTGTCACCGTTACACTCAGAAGCAGGGGCAGACTCACCCTCACACACATGCACACATGTATGCACACACAAAAATATACATAGTATACAAAATAATACAGTTTGCAAGAGCACCATTAAGCAAAAAGATGCACGTAGACATTGACAGTCATGCTTCTTGAGGAAGGAGAATGGGTGAGGTACCGGATAGAAGCAATGGAGTGGGTCCAGGACAGACACAGTGAAGGTGGTTGGCTGAGAACCGGGGGCGAGAACATTTACTCTCCGCATCTCGAGGAAAGGGGAAAAAAGGAACAGTAAGACACAGAAACCGTACTGCTGTGATACTCTGCCTGCAAGAGCCCTGCAGACAGACCCTGCTCTGCCTCCCTCTCCAACCGACCTCTATTGGCCTGCCAAATGCCTCTCACACAACGGCCCCTACATGTGGCAGGAGGAGAGCTCCGGGTCTGAGCTTGGTAGATGGAGAAGCAGAGTTCTTTCCAGCCACCTTCAGCACCCAGGGCAAGGCTGGGCCACACATCAGAGCTGACCCACCTGCCTGGAGTTTGAAGGGTTAGGGCAGGCAGAGACTGATTGCCCTTCCCACAGAGTGAACTGAGAGGGAGGGACCACACATTGGAATGACTGGCATTAGCCACCAGGAAGGGTATACCAGGAGTTGAGAGAATGAAGAGAACCTGCCACAGATTCTGAGTCACTGGGCCAGCATGGATTTAGTGAGCACCTACTATATGCCAAGATCCGCATGGTCTGGAGGCCAAGGAATGCAGTGCCCAAAGCGGTAGCTAGTTAGGCCTCTTGCCAAATGCTCAGACACTGGTTCCCTGGGGTTGAGAGATCAGTCTGAGGAGGTTTCCTGGAGGGCTCTGAATCAAAAGATCTAGAAGGAGAGGTTTGGAGGAAGGGGTGGTTATTCCCAGGGAAAACTTTCTCAGCTCCCACTGCCTTAGAGCCACAGGAAGCAGGGCCTGACCCTAGAGGAAGTTGAATCAGAGATGATCCCTTCCCACACTGCAGTGTCTGTGGACTCCGCCCTCTTGCTGGGATTCCCACTCGGGATTGGCACACTTCCTGGGTCTTCCCAGTTTGCTGGGGCCTGGTTCCTGTTGGGTGGAGGTAATCCCTGACAGCGCCCCCACCCGATTCCCACAGTGTGTACCTGCTGCTCCAGCTGCAGGACCCGGAAAGGTGAGTAGCAGCCAGCCTGCCCGCAGCCTGCTGGATTCGGCTTGCTTCAGGGGGGGCACTAACCAGGTGCTGGCCCCTTGGGGCTCCCTTTCAGCTGCACGGGCCAAATGGGGGACAAAGCCCTCACGGCAAGCGACACACTGGCCTTCATTTCTGTGGCCAAACCTCCCAGGAAGCTGCAATCAGGATGCTGGCTGGGCTCCGTCACCTGCAGGCTTGACTGAGCCCTGGCAGATCCACTCCAAGATGGCTCCAGGGGCCACTGCCTGCAGTTCCTTACCAGCCAGGCCTCTCTCAGGCTGTTGGAGAGTCCCCACACATGGCAAGTGGCTTGGCCCAGAGCCAATGGTTCTAGATAGAGAGGTCAAGCGGGGAGCCATGGTAACCTTTCATGACCTTGCCTTTGAGGTCAAGCTAGCATCTGCTCCTGGGTTGTTCTGTTTGATGGCCGTGAGTCACCAAACCTAGGTTCCCTGAGAGAAGTATCCAGCCTCTTAGAAGGAATGTCAGAGACGCATGTGTGAATCGTTAAGCCAATTTGTAGTCCTACACATCCCTGTGCAGTGCGTCCTGAGGACTCGGAGACTGCCCACGCTCCTTTGAAGGGAGGAAGCCCTGCTAAGGGAGCTCTGGCTTGCCACTCACTGGCTGTGCAGCTTTGTGTGAGTCAGCTAACTGCTCTCAGCCTGTTTCTTCGTCATAAAACAGAGATGGGGGTCCGTGCCTTCCTCCCTGCACTGTTACGAAAATGGCTGTTAAAAGGCTTTTTGAAGGGTGACTGCTATTCATTATATTTATTTGTCTGTGGGGACGTATATGGACATGTGCGTGCCATGGCTTGTGTGTGAGGTCAGAGAACAACTCCGGAGAGTCGGTTTTTCTCTCCCCGCAATGTGAGTTTGGGGGATCAAATTCAGACCATCGGGCTGGGCAGCAGGCTCCTTGACTTGCTGAGCCATCGCTCTGGTCCATGACTACTATTTTTACAGGCTGGACTAGCCAGACAAACCCCCACTTCTAGACAGACACTCCTGATGTTGCCGTTGGCTGGTGTGTGTGAGTGACAGCTGGTGGAGCTGTGGTTCTCTGGGGCCAGCCATACTGCTCTCTTAGAAGGTGTCCCTCCATTTTGCCTGACTTAACTAGATGCATTAGGGACTAGGGAGGTTCCTGGGTTTTGAAAGCCATAAGTCCCAGACAAGTGACAGACGGGAACATTGAGCAGGGACACCGTAGGAGAGCAGTATTCAACCAGTCTTTACCAGCCCATGTCCAACTGGGCCCCCCCAGTCCATCTAGGAAGCTGGGGACTCCCATTGCTAGACGTGGGCACATAAGTCTGGTAGACTTCCTAGTTCTTAGGAAACAGCACTTCAGTGTCCCCATAAGGTCATGGTCATTTCTGTCCCCTATTCTGCATGTTGAATTGTAAATTCCATGAGCCAGGATAGTACCGCCTGGGACCAGGTTGGTTAATATTCCAGCCTTTCTGCTCCCTTCTTCTTCCTGGCTCTAGGACACCTTCACCTATGGAACACCAGGGTTTTATAGTCAAAGTCCGCAAAGCAGACCGTTAAATCAGCTGATGGTAGGCACTTGTGAATTCTGTAGGCCACTGCGACAGGTGTCTGAGTGGATGGGGTTTTGGGAGAGTGGAACAGCCAGTAGCAAATAGCTGGATGCATCGGGATGGCTCTGCTTGGAGTCATGGCCAGGACTGGTCCCAGCCCTGTCTGTTACAGGCCCTACTTTCTTAGGGTCCTGCTGACATCCAGTACTCTGGAACTTTCTCCCTGCCCCCTAGAGCTCCTTGCCAGGGCTCATCCCATGATTCCTCCACAGTGCATCCCTCTGTGTCCTTAGGGACAACTCTCCACTCTCTGGGCCCCATTCTCCCTTCTGTAAGGTGGGGGGGATGGGCTGAATGCTTCTCTGGTCCCCCCAGCTCTCTGAAGTGAAGGGCACTCTGCTGGGAAGTGCTGGCCAATGGTGCTGGGATGTGTCTGTCGGACACCTGGGACTGGAAGCTGACCCTCAAGCTTCAACACCTTTTGAGAAGACTCCAAATGGGTCTTGGGTGCTTTCCTTCTGATCCCCTGAAATCATGTCACATGGGATGGCGTTCAGTCCAGAGCATGGGAAAGTTCTAGGCATCCTTAGACACTTAGGACACTGAACTTTCTAAAGGGTTTGCAAATCCAGCTCTTAATTCAGGAAGTGGAGAAAGGAAAGGTGGGCATTTGGGAGGTTGGTAGTCAGCTCAGAGGGCAGTGACAGCCATGGCATTGGAGCTCACGGGCCCAGCAAACAGCAGATGTTAGACAGAGCCTATTCTAAACTGCCTCCCAGTCACTAGAACATTCTCTCCCTACCTCTGCTTCATTCTGCCAGTCAGTCAGTTCCCTGCTGTTTTCTGCATATTTCTGTCTTTGTAGATGCTTCTGTTATTACCCCTGTCCACCACCTCCCTTCCTCTTTCTCTCTTCCTCCCTGAGCTGCCTGTCATTAGTCAGAAAGGTGTATCAGGCCTCCTTTTTAAATCAAGTATGCGGGGCATAAATTTAAGTATGTGTGCATTTCATCCCAAAGTCTCTTCTCTAACAGAATGTTCTTTCCTCTCTCCTCGGTGACTGCTGGGGACCTGGATGTAAGTGTTCAGACAGGCATGTCCTTCCAACACATTTGCGGCCTTGCCTCACTAATGTGTGTCGTGTGGGATGTATGCTAACCTGAGTGTTGTGCTGCACTGTGGGTGGGTGGCTCAGGGCTTGGGACTGGCAGATCTGTTCAGGTCTTTAAAGGGCTTAGACTTCCCAGCCCCTCCTCTCCATGCTCCAGTGCTGAGCCCGGCACTAATACATGCATGTCCCCTGTTGTGGAAGGCCACAGGGGCTCCCTGTCCTTAAGTAGAAACCACCAACCTTGACCCAACCATGGCAGCTCAGTGGCCCCCAGGCACGGGCTGCCACTGCTGAAGGGTCGGCAGGAGTGTGGCATCACCCCTTATGGGAGAGCCTGTACCTGCACAAGTTCTCAGGGTCTTGGGGTGTGGTCCATTGCTAAGGCTGAGGACATCATATTGGGTCACAAGTCTATGCAAATCCATAGGCACACTCCTGAGTTTTCTGCACAGTCAATTAGTGCCACCCTTCAATGTGGCCAAATTCAGTGTGACTTATTTCTTACCTACTCTGCTGCTTATTCCAAAAAGGAAATGAATGTGAAGGAAATATCTGTGAAATGGTGGGTCAAGTAAGAAGAAAATGAAAGTTGGGGGACGTGAGAAGAAAGATAGGGTCAAGGGAAAATCCTAACCCCGGCCACCTGGTCAGGGAGCATCAAAGCCTGGCCCTCCTCACAGCTGCTGCAGAGGGAAATACAGCTAGCCAGCGTCCACAGTGGTGGTGCTAGGAAGCGTGGCTTGTCCTTGTTTATTTCCTGTCCTGAGAGGGAGACAATATACAAACAGGGCAGGCACTAAGGACTCAGCTTAGTGGTCGGGCACCTGCCTGGCATGTGCAGAGCCCTGGATTTGATTTCCAGCGCTCTAAATAACTACCAACAACAAACACGGTGACAGACGTACAGGGACCGTCCTAGCAGTTGGGGCTGGTTTTCAGGCAGGGTTCTGTGTCGCTTCCATGTGAAGCTGTTTCTGTCCCCCAGCAGCCCACACTGGCCTCCGTTGCTCCCAGCTTCTGCCCAGATCAGGTCTGGCTTCTACTCCTGCCTGTGTATCTGGAATGTCCTCCACTCCTAGGAGTCACAGGATCGCTTCTTTTCAAGGTTGCCATGGAGAACACGTGCAAAGCCCCGTTAACAGTTTCAGTACTGAGATGGGCATTCGGGTTTTTGGTTTTTTGTTTTGTTTTTTTTTTGCTTTCTGCCTGAGACAGGGACCCCACACTGTAACTCAGACTGGCCTGGAACTCACTGTGTGGCCTAGGCTGGCTAACCCATAGCAATTGTTAGGATCACCAGCATCCATGCCCAGCTTACGAGGTGCTTATTGTTATTGTGGTTAATGTGTGGTTTGGATGCTCAGCCTCAGTGCATTCTGGTGGGTGGACTGAGTAATTAGGTACCCAAGGATCCTGCTGCGTCTCTGGGTTATCTTCTGATGCCCATGACGACTGGTACAGGAAAAGTCCTGGAAACAGGGTTTAAGGGGAGCAGCACACACCTGTTCAGAGGCCTAACCTCAGCCAGTACTCAACCCCATCCTCAGGATGCAGTTTTTTGCTGGGTGGGGCTGGCCAGGATGCTTCTGCATGTCTACTTTGGCCTAGGAACTTTGGGTCCTGGGTAGGCCTGGCCCTCATTCTTCCCCCCAGGAAGGAGGAATCTGTGTCTGGAGGAATGTCCTGGTTAGCGAGTGTCATGCTCCAGTGCAGAGGAGAGCTGAGTTCTCTGAGATGGCAACAGGCTTCCATTTAGCTTATTGGCGTGGCAGTACTGACTGAATGCCACAGATTCTCAGACAGTGTGAGGGATGAGCAGCCACAACCCCACAACCTCAGGGAGCTTTCTGCTGAGCTGAGACAGTGTGGCTGACAGAGAACCAGAGCATGTGGCAAGGGCTGCAGGGTACAGACCATAAGCATTACTGGGGGCCCAGAGCAGTGAGGCTCTGGAGGGCCAGAGTGTTCAGGAAGTGTCATGGAGTTACTGTCCTCAAGTTCAACAAGCTGATTTAGGCGGTGGAGGGATCAGGAAACAACTGAACTTGGAGTCAGCAGAGCAAGAGAAGCACAGAGTGAAGGAAAGGCCAATTTATGATGTCAGGCGGACAAGGCACAGCCTGAGCAGCTGGCTCCCACCCACTGCTCCGCTCTGCAAGGCCTGCGGAAGGCAGCCGTGTTCTCGTGCTGCCCTCTGCTGGCTGCCGTGGAGCACAGCGGTGGCAACCGGAAAAGCTCTTAGTTGCTGGCTTTAGTTTAGTTCATACTGGCTGCTGTTACAGACTCACCAGCCCTCTGCTGACAGATGGAGCCAGTTCTGTGGCTGAATATGATTTTAGGAGCAGAAGCAGAGTATCCGAGAAAGAGCTCAGGTTTCCGTCTGCAGGCGTCAGCGTGGTGGAGCCAGATGAGCTGTGGGCCTTCTAGCGCTGCCTTCTGTGACGCTGGGTGATGACAACATACAAAGGATAGAAAGCCATGTCTGTGGATGCCAGATAGACTGGGTGTGGGAGAGAATAATTTACATACTAACTAAGCGAGGACATCCTGGCTCAGTAACATGGCTGCATTCAGTGGGCCAAGTGAATTCTGGAGCTTTGCCTATAGTCCATTCAAGTTAGACTGAAATAGGGATCTTGCTGTCATGTGGGGTGGGGTGGGGGATACATTCAGATTTTGCATCTAAATGAGGGCCCTCTGTTATCTAGCACCAGGTCCTTTGAAATGAAAAATCTGCACAGCTCAGCTTACAGTTACCCCTTGAGGTCTCTTGGCATTTTACATCCTGTCTCCTACAGAATGCCTAGTGCTGCATGCACTGGGGTACTGACTGCAGTGTCAACATCGCCTGTGCATACAATTTAGAGGGTCAGGCATCACTCCTCAGGAGCACAGCTCTTGTTTTCAGAGAAGTCTTCCCTGAGGTCAATTCATGGGTCTAAGCATCAGGCCATAGCAAGTCTCGGACCGTCTCCTCCCATCCCCTGGTAGCTGGTCAGTGGCTTCTGCACCTACAGTTAATGTTATACGTCTTCCAATTACAACTTCACCTTCCCTGGCCCCAATAAAAACAGTGGAACTTCTTCAGACGCGGGCCCCTGGCTGTCCTAACAGGTTTGTCGTGCTGTGTACCTAATCCTGCCCTCTCTTGTTCCTTCCCACACTGACCCCGCCCCCAAACCTGCTGTACTTTGTCTCCTCTGTTAGATGGACATTAAGTGGTTGAGGGAGATGTGAATGAGGGTGGTGTGAAGTCATGGGAGCCCCACCAGGTCCAAAGCCCACTGGCGTTTTCTGACGAGGAGGAGGAGGACCTGTTGGAGTTCATGTACAAGTATAAGGCACCGAGGAGGACGGAGTTGCCCCTGGAGGTACATGGTGTCTGGGGGTGTGGGCTGGAGTGTGTGTTTGCACTAGACACCTGGGGGTCCTGAGAATAGCCTCACTTGTGATACTCAACATTCTCTGCGTACTTAGCGGGGAAAATGACTTCCCCATCAAACAGGTAGGACAAGCCACAGGTAGCCTTTAGCTACCTGCCAAGGTGTGTGTGTGTGTGTGTGTGTGTGTGTGTGTGCGTGTGTGTGTGGAAATCAGTTCTAGTGATAGAAATCAGGCCAGGCTTGGCAGTAAGCGCCTCACCAGATGAGCCATTTCCCCAGCACCACAGTTCTTTAAAGTCACCAGAAAACAGTGTGCTTGGCACTGTGGCCAGTTGGGATGTAGCTGGGTTTGGCAGCAGGAGGACCATCCTGGCACTCATGGGCTGTGTTCTGTGGCACAGGTGGAGAGTCACTAGTTACAGGCTCTGGACAGAGCCATCTGGTTCCTTTCTGGTTCCCTATCGACTGAGCTCTCTGGCCTGAGGTCCACCGTGAGAAAGTCATGGTTCCTGTCACAAAATGAGAGGGCCCTGTGAGAATCAGATGAGATGCTCAGGAACATTCCCCTTCACAAGCATGGAGGCCTAGTTTTCTTACTCACTCTGAGATGAAAGCTACAGCCACCTCAGATGTAGGAGCTCCTTCATTCCTGTCCATTTCATATCCTCATCTATTATTTCCCCCACCCCTTCTCCAGGGCTGCGGATCAAAGCAGGGCCTCCCATATATACTGGGCAAGCGTTCTACCACTGGGCTGTCTCCAGCCAGCCAGTAGGGGTTAGTTCTAGGTACTGGACTAGTCTTATCTGGCCTAGAGCCTGGGAACCCTCGTGATGAGGAGAGTTCATTCTAACACTCTAACTGTCCCAGGGCCCAAGAGATTGTGCTTTTTTTTTTGTTTTGTTTTAAGACAGGGTCTCACCTGTAGCCCAAGCTAGCCTCAAACTCCCTCTGTAGTGGATGCTGGCCACACACTCCTGATCCTCCTGCCTCTGCCTTCAGAGTACTGTGATCACAGAGTACACCACCACACCTAGCTGTGGTTTTGTTTAAAGCTTTGCACATGGCTCCCCTGCTTACTGTAATGGTCAAGAAACAGGTGCCCCCAAAGGGAGGTTTCTGTTGCTGCTGTTCCAGTCTACACCCAGAAGTGAGTAGTGAAAACCTTTCCTACCAGTGAAGCTGTGGTCTGAGGGGTCTGGGGGGCACTGAGCCTATTCCCCACTTGGGTGCTTACCTTGCACTGAGCTAGTCAGCCACCAGGAGACAGTGGTGAAGAGGACACAGGCCTCACTTCAGTCTGGTGGGCAGTGAAGGGCGCTGTCCCACTCCCTGGGCCTGGGTACAAAGCCCTCTGCTGTGGGCATATACAAAACACCGAGGAAAAGGAGCTGGAGGTGTATATCTTGTAGGTGAAGTGCTTGTTTAGCAATGTATGAACCCTGGGTTCAATGTTCCAGTATGGGAGGGGAACAGAGAAACATTTAGCCGGGTGTGGAGCACATCTGTAATCTCAACTCACTCGGGAGGCTGAAGCAGGAAGATCACAAGTCTGATGCCAGGCTGGGCTACAAAATGATCTCATGGCCACCTTGAACGAACTACTTAGAAAGACCTATCTCAAGTGTATGAACAACACTACCCAGGCCACTGAGGCAACAGTGGCTGTGTGTGGCCAGGCAGCTCAGAGAGTCAGGGGTCTCCTAGACAAGTGACTTTTGAGCTGGTGCTCAAGGGGACTAGAATTTCCAGTCAGAAGGGACAGTGGTATGAAAGTACAGTGGAGAGAAAGTTCTCTGTCCTCACAGAGAAGCTCGAGGCTGTGGACAGTGGGTTGGGGCCAGCTCTGTGAACCCTATTCAGTGGCATCCTAGGAGAACATCTTACCTCTTCTTATTTCAGTGGTAATGCCTCCTACGGTTTATGCCTCCCCTAAGAGAAATAGTTCCTGCAGTCACCATCAGGCAGATGAGGTGGTGTTGGTCTTTGTGGTGTGGCTTGCTGGTAGTAAAAGGTTTCACACCCAGGATGAAGGCTGGAAGTTTGAAGCATACACCAGAAAACAGTTTCCAGAGGAAATACAGAAATAGCAAAGGGCTGGAGCTGTCCCTCGTTCAACTCATTTAAAACAAGGAAGACATGCCATTCTGCACAGCTCTTCCCTTTGGACTCAGGAAGGTGTGATGGCCTTCGCACGGGGGCTCAGTCTCACCTCACATGGTGCAAGGGTGGGACTCTAGTATCTGATTCCTGTTGTGGGGACCCCAGCTCTACCCACTAGTGGGGAGCTGGCCAAAGGAGAGGATGTCTCAGTATCCCTTCCCCAGATGCTGTCTCCCAAGATTCCACCTCTCAAGCCACATGGAGGATGCCCTTTCTCTGCTTTCTTTACCAGGCACCGCCTAGAACCCTTCGATCCCGCTTCAGGAAGAAAAGTACCTCATCCCCGGCCACTGAAACCACGTGAGTGAGATGAGCCAACAGCACTGGATCCACAGATGTCTCTCCTCTGCCTTAAAGAGCTAGTCACTAGTAACACGGAAGTCCGCAGGCTGGGTGTGCTTCGAGTGTGCAGCCTCACAGACATGGCCTTTACTCGCTCCCCTCTTCTGCCTTTAAGAGTTTTCTGTTCTTTCCTTTCTGTTCCTGCTGGGGAGAGGCTAAAGGGGAAAGGTGGTGGTGGAGGGTGACCTTTCCGTCTTCTGAGTTAGTAATGTCCCACAGTTGGAGTGTCATTGTGGCCATGGTGTTTCTAGATATATAAGCACTCTTACCCTGCTGCTGAGATGGACATTTGTAATTTATTTGTTGCATAGTTTTTAGTCCTGTAAATGCAAACGAAGTGATCTTTTTTTAAAAACCTTTCGTTGTTCTTGGTACTAATACATTGGACTATGATGTACATATTTACGGCTTTTAGCTTAATGTAATGAACTTGCAAGGGCTGCCAGAGGTTCTCATAAGTGACCGAGCTGCAAAAACCGGAAACGTAGACAAATACTTTGATTCTAGACAGTGTCTCCAACGTGCTTACAAAGCCAGTGCCAGTAGGGCATGCCTTCTCCTGCAGGAAGATGGCCCACGTTCTTCAAGTGGCTGTGTAGTCAGCAGAGCAGAGCCAGGAGCACAGGGTCTCAGCAACAGGAAAGAAGGTTGCTGAGTCAGGGAAGAGGAAGGAAGCGCATCTCCTTGGGTTCAAGATCAGAAACATCTGAGCCCTTCTGGGGGCATTGGAACTGCCTCAGGCAGGCAGGCAGCTCACCCTTAGCAGAACCGTTTGCGGGGGATGGAGACTCAGATGCTGGAAGAATTCCAAGTATCTCAGAATCACTTGGTCAGAGTGTTTCTCCTTCAGGGACCAGTGCCGTGGCTGATTTCTCCAGGAGGAAGAGCCTGCATCTGAGCGCCTTGTTTTAGAGAACACTATGCAAAGAGAAAAGGCTAAAACTAGGCTTTGTTTCAGATGTGTCAAAATACACAAGACCCTCACATAACCACCGGAAGGCAGGATCTGGGGAGGACTGAGGCTGAGCTCCACAGGCAGCTGTGGCTCTTGCTTCCTTCTGGCTTGTGTGGAAGATGAACGGATGGACTGACATTCATACTCACTCCATGTCTTCGTGAATGTTTTTTACAAGCCGGGACTGCACTGAGAATTTTGACAAGTGTCTGACTTAGATAGCATTGTGGTCTAGGGAGCTGTCCTCCCCTCTGAGAGCTGAGCCCAGTTGTAGGGCTGGTCCATTTGTGCTTAGAGTTGGTGTTTCCTTTCCATGTGATGCATGCAGTGGTCACAACCCAGTTACTCCTATTTGGATTGTGTTTGTTCATAGCTATGCCCTGAAGACTAGAGAAGTAGTGCTGCATACCACATAGAACTGCCAATAACTGCAGACAGGATCAATTACCAACTGCTCCGTTCCTGAGCGATGCAACCATGCATGGGGGACTGCCAGGCTACAGTAGCCGGACCTCGGCCACTTCACAAAGGGTTCTAGGTGAAGTTCATTGCTGCCAGATACACCTAATGAAATTCTACAAAAGTGATTCTGTATTTTAGAACTAACCCGAGGGAACTAACCCAAAAGCTGGTGACTGGGAGGACAAGTAGTCTGCCTGTGGCCCACACCCATCTGAACCTGTTAAGAAAAACATCTGTCCTCTTCAAGCTCACCCGACAGTTCCAGACAGGCGAAATGATACCCTGTAAAATGTAGAAACCTGTCGACTGGGTGTATCTGGGATGAAGAGAAACAGATGCAGAAAGGCCCGAGAGAAGCAGCTTTGCAGTGTCCCCCATCCCCCCAAAATAAATGGCTTTAGGAGCAGAGTTTAAGCCCTGCTGTATTTTCACCATTTACAGCGGAAGTCATAACACGTCTAGGCTATCGAGTTTGTACTCAGCTATGCCAAAACCCAGTTTGAAGCACTCCTCTCAGACATGCTGTATTACTTCTTGTTCCAGATTTAAGATATAAAGGTATATAAATTGTCTTATTGTAAATGTAAGTACTCTTCCTTCAAGTGTTGACTAGGGAGTTGTCTCCTCTCTTAAAGACACTCACGATAGAGCTGAGCGCAGCTGTCGTTTCTTGAAAAATGTGTTTACTTTCCTGACAAGCTGTGCATTTGAATGTGGACTGACATATGATGTGAATGTCCCTGTCCGTGTAGTGGTGTGGTGCTGTCCAGTGAGATAAATGAATGTTTCTAGTTTGCTGACTTAGACACGGGCTGTTTACAAAGTGCTAGCTTGAAGGTCTGCACTTGTCTCAGCTTTGAGTTACTCGCCTTGGAGCACAGGCCCCATTTCTGAAGACGTGAGATGAAGTCTCATGCTTATCAATTGGAGATTTAGTCATAATCTCTCCTGACTTTGTGTGAATAGCTTGCTCACTGTGCTGGCCTTTGATATGTATGTTCTCCACGGTGAACTGTCCATGTGTTTGTGTTAAGAGTGCTTGTCAACACAACCGTCGTGTAGCCTTGCCAGTTTTCACCTTGCACAGTATTTGAAGTGTTTGAAGTGGCGAAAGATGTGCTTCATCTTTGGACAGTGGCCACTCAGCAGCTGATGTTCTGGATCGTGACTGTGCACACTTCCTCTAGTTTATCTCTGAAGTCTCTCTAGAATGAGCTGTGATTAAATAGTATACTGGACTGTGTCTCGAAGGGATGTAAATTGCAGTATTCCAAAGGCTGAAGCTCTGCTGTTTTGTTATAATGCCTGATAAACATCTTGAATAAAGTCTTAACATTTTTCTTTAAAAAATTGTAATGTTGGACTTAGGAGGAAAGAAGAAATATTTTTTAAAAAGGTTTATTATTTTGGTGGTTTTTAAACAATTATTGACCTAGACCAGCAAGTCATTCCTCAGTGGTCCTAAGGGGGAGTACCAGGAGATGAAAAGATAAAGAAGATAAAAGCTGGGGTTGGGAGGTCATGTACAAGCTAAGTCTTATCCCAGACAAGTGTATTAAGAAGTACGGCATGTTATATGTAGTTTGCGGGGAGGTGGGTGGGTGGGGGGGACGGAGTCAGCAGAAAGTCACCATACAATGGAATGAAGTCAGCAGGAAGCTGACCAAGCAGGGTTGCACAAGGGGAACACAGGCCTATCATCATAGACCCAGGAGGAATCAGCATTGGGACCGATAGCTCCAGTCTCTTCAAGGGAAAAAGCCAAGTTCCCAGAAACCAAAACAACTCCTTCAAGGGCTTGACCCTAGCTCCAGTCCAGACCTTGCCAAGTCTACCCTTTGGCAAGGACACAGAACTAGGTTCCTTTTGTCCTTTCATCAGGGCCTCTGAGAAAGCCTTGGACTGGTCTGGCTCTCAGAAAACTGTGTGGATGTGTGTGCCTGTATAATGAATGCAGGTACCTGAGGAGGCCAGAAGAGTGCATCAGACCCCTTGGAGCTGGAATTACCGTCGTTGTAAACCACCAGATGTAGGTTCTAGAACCCAAACTTGGGTCCTCTTAGCACTCTTAACCACTGTATCATCTCAGCAACCCCAAAACACTTTTTAAAAATGTGGGTAGGGCTGGTAAGAAGTCAAAGTACTTGCCAACAAGCCTGATGACTTGAGTTTAAATCCTGGGACATGCCAGGTGGTAGTGGCACACACCTTTAATCCCAGCACTCAGGAGGCAGAGGCAGGTGGATCTCTGAGTCTGAGGCCAGCCTGGTCTACAGAGTGAGTTCCAGGACAGCCAGAGCTACACAGAGAAACCCCGTCTTGAAAAACAAACAAACAAACAAACAAAACAACAACAAACCCTGGGACCCCATGGTGGAAGGAGAGAAGACACTCCTGCAAGTTGTCCTCTGACCTCCACTCGCACGCTGTGGCACACATCTCCCCACCCCACCCCCAAAGTAAGTGAAATGTAATCTAACCTTATTTCAGTGTGGGAGGGGGTCTAGGGATGTAGCTCAGTTGGAGAGTGCCCAACTAATGCCCAAAGCTCTGGGTCCAATCCCCAGCACCATATAAACCAGCTATGGTGGGGCACACTGGTGATCCTAGCACTCAAGAGGCAGAAGCAGGAAGATCAGAAGTTCAAGGGAATTCTCAGCTATATAGAGATTGAGGCTGGCCTGGAACATAATGAGACCCTGTCTCAAAAATATAAAACAAATATAAAAATTATAAATAATAAATTAGTTAAAAACAAGGGTTAGAAAATGAGTGCTTAACTTCTCCCTAGCCTGGAAACTTGCCCAGGAAGACTAGGAGGAAACATGTCACTGATATATGTTTCACAAACCCAGCTCATCACACAATGTTAACCTTAAGGCGTCACTGTTCTATTTCTTTAAAGATCAGTGGAAACTGGGTCCCTGTGAAAATGAGTAGTTCACTGGTAGGCAGTTTTACTTTTGCGAGCAGACCTCTGGGTAGCCGTTTCCTTCTGGAGTGTTTCTTCACCTGCAGACAGGAGTACCTGTGCAGGTTAGAACAGGCTTGCGCATGTGCAGAGCCACTGTGGATGGTAAAGATGCCCTTAACACTCTGCATCCCTTGCCTTTAAATCATGAGCATCAGGCACTGGGGCCTTAGCTGTCACACAGTGCTTGTACAGAAGGCCTGAGGCACTGGGTTCCGTATCAAGCACCACAGAAACAGGATTGACAGGACATTCCTATCATCCGTCCCAGAACTCAGAGGTAGAGACAGGAGGATCAAAGGTTCAAGGTCATCCTCAGTTACACATGAATTTGAAGCCAGCCCTGGCTAAGCAAGACTATCTCAAAAACCAACCAACAATCAGACAGCAGGCTCTCCAGCTTCCCTGGGAAGTCACATGTCAGGGACAAGGATAGAATCTCTAGTTAGTGGAAAAGTACAGACCCCCATAAGACAGGGAACTAGATCATCTTATGTTGGCCCTTAGATTTATTACTAAGAAGGGGGAGATGTCAGGGACAAGGATAGAATCTCTAGTTAGTGGAAAAGTACAGACCCCCATAAGACAGGGAACTAGATAATCTTACAGTCAGGTTGCCTAGCAACAGGACATTGAGGCAGAGCCCCTGACCCTTTCACCCTGTAAACATCCTATACAAACATCCTGATAGCTTGCCCCACCTTATGCAGATGACAGCTTCTTGCTCCCCCCACCCTGCAGGAACTATATAAACCCTCTTGGAGAAAAATAAAGTTGCACCTTGATCAGAATCTAGACTTGGTGTGTTTCCTTGTATCTCCTGTCTCTACCACTCCGTCCTTAGGGTGGTCGAGAACCCGTTGAAGCCCTGCAGGCGGGGCAGTCACAGAGGACCTTCAGACATCAGAGTCAATCACAGTTCTGTTTTGTTTTTATAGTACAGACTGGAAAATAAAGAGTAGATTCAGAGGACGGACAACAGAGAGATGGGGAGGAAGGCTAAAAATCCACTCATTGATTTGTTCATTTACAGAGCCTGGGCCGTACAGCAACAGTTGACGGGCAGAAGGCGCAGCCACACACCTTCAGGACTGAACTGGAGGATTAGAAGTAGTTACTACTAGTGTCGGATCAGTCCCTTGTTGAGTAAGACCTGACTGTCCTATCTTGTTAGAAAACCAAAGGAAGCACACAGATCCAAAGAGCAAGACAGGGTTCTAGGGTGCATAAGGTGTGTTTTAGAGTAATTATTTAAGCCTCTATAAGCTTGAGTCGCCTTCAGTTTATATCAGGGGTAAATGCTAGCTTCTTTCTAAGGCTGACATGAGGCCCAGCAGATTTTTGCAGATATACTGAACTATAGCAAATGTTTAATAAACTATATGTAAGTAAACAGTTATACTTGAACATCATTTAGGCAGACCCTAATGCAAACTGCTTTACTGTCAAACTAAAAGCCCCACAGCACCCAGCTCCTGCCACCTCAGGAGTGTGAACACAGACAGGAAGAAAAGCCCCACAGCACCCAGCTCCTGCCACCTCAGGAGTGTGAACACAGACAGGAAGAGCCACCGGAACAGAAGCCTTTGGTGTATGAGGTGTTCAAGTTGAGCATCTGGTTCCACAAATACACACACACTCGGCCGTCTGGATCCGGGTCAGTCTGCATCCCTCTCTATTTAATGGATACAAGCACTGGCTTCAGTGAATGGCCCTCAGATTCCGGCCTGACATGCCACAGAACTTCCACTGATTATCTTATTCTACTAAATGGAGGAATTTCATGTTATCACCAAAGGTTTCAAACAGTAGTTCATTCAGAATTCTATTTAATGGGAGTTTTCAACTTGGCAAGCTGCTTTGTTTGAAAATGCTTCCAGATAATTTGGCCGGGAGAGCTAAGAGTTGCTGTCTTGGACCGTAGCCATCACTTGCCACTCTTTAAGTAAATAATATGTAACTCTTGCATCATTCTTCTCATCCAAGTACTAACAGGTCCGACCCTGCTTAGCTTCTGAGAGCAGGCAAAATCATGTGTATGCAGGGTGGTGTGGCCATAGTCTCTTGCCATTTCTAAAATGAGTGATACTGTTGCCCTCTGAGCACAGCGGGCAGCCCGCCAGTCTCATCAATGACAGATATTCTTCCCTTAGTTTCCATAATACGTTTTTGGAGAATTCTAGAAAAAGTTTTTCCTTACAAATGAAAATAAGAAAAAAAGTTTATCTCAATTGGATAAATTTTTTTTTTGTGGGGGAGGGATTTTCGAGACAGGGTTTCCCTGTGTAGTTTTGGTGCCTGTCCTGGATCTTGCTCTGTAGACCAGGCTGGCCTTGAACTCACAGAGATCCGCCTGGCTCTGCCTCCCAAGTCCTGGGATTAAAGGCATGCACCACCACCACCCGGCTCAAATGGATAAACTTTTAGAAGATACAGTGCATTTGAAAAATTGGGCAGAGGGCTGGAGAGATAGTTTAGCAGTTAAGAGCACTGGCTGTTCTTGCAGAGGACCTGGGTTCAATTCCCAGCACCCACATAGTGGCTCACGACGATGTGTAATTCCAATGCCAGTGAACCCAACAATCCTCTTCTGGCCTCCAAGGACACCAGGCACCCATATGATGCACATACATATGTGCAGGCAAAACACTCATATACTTAAAATATAAAAATTAAAGTTGAAAAGAAAAATTGGGCAGGGTTTATTGTATAGCCACGTGTTTCAAGAAGGGTATGTGGAAAGGTGATTTACTTTTATGAAAAGCATCTCATTACAATAAATGAATGATAACTGTCATGGACACAAAGAACACAGGACACAAGATCAAAGTACACTGCTACCCTGTGTCACTTCTATGAAAACCACTCAGAGCTGCTTTTTTACTCCACATGAACCTGCTAACTAACAGGGCCCAGGGTGGGATCTCGACCCAAACGAGCACGCTCTACACTGCATGGTGGCATGGATCGGGGTTTACAATGAAAGGGCAAGCTGGCCCACTAAGAGTCCCCTGGCCATCAGAGACAGGAGATGACAAGAGCCGCGGGTTGTCACGTTAAAAGGAACCTCAAAGGTTCAGACTGAATAGTCTGAGGGAACATACACTTTACATAAGCAAAGCCAAGATGGAGAGCGATGGGTAGAGTCACATTCACAGCAGAGCCGAGACATAAAGCTCCACCACTTCCTGCTCCATCCAATTCCACCCTTCCCAAAGCTGCGGATGGAAGTCTCGGGTAGGAGATCAAACTGGTTCCTGAGTTCCAAGGTACTTATTCTTGAAATGCATCACGCATCCTATAGAGGATAGGCACGTAGGATGTCTGTTTAGCATATGCAAGGCCCTGGGTACAACCTCAACTCCACAAAAAGGCCCAT